TAGGCGCTGATGAAAGTCTCTTGCCGCGACTGTGAAGTTTTCAGCTGCAGAGAAGAGCGAATCTAGAAATATGAACGATAATGAAAGACTGAATGACAGAGAAACATGACTTTGCACAGATGTACTTTGCATCCAAAATTAAAGGGATAGTTCATGCAAGAATAAACATTTATTCTATTTACCCATCCTCAATTGATTATAAACATTTAAGGCCGAAACCCAACCGATTTTCACTGGCGTCGAGCAGAAGTATGCAAAATCACTACTTGACGTTAGATGGCGCTACACAACTTTAAGCTTCTGACACCCGCTTGTAACACAGAAGAAGAAGACAAAGTTGACACGCTTGTTGTTATGGATGGTTCAAGCAGCAGCTCCAGCTCTAGCGATGAAGTAATGATTATTGTTCACTAGTGCAATAACCAGCTCCACGTTCATATCACCTCTGGGCATCTTCTTCAATGTCCGCTGGCATTGACAGTTTTGCGCTTCAGCGCCTCCAAGTGCTGTTTACTGTAACTTCAGCAGCTCCGTGCACGTGAACAAAAGTGCCAACCTGACTGGTGGAGAAGGTTTAGACGTGGCGCGTCAAAATAAAAAAAAAAACGAGCATGAGGCGTTACTTTAAATGACGCTTTTACGACTGGCGTTTTGCGCGCTGGTGTGCACGATCACATTGACGCCCTTTATTTAGTCACGAGGCGTTAAACGTTGACGGAAATACAAGCAAAAAAACGTCTTAGTGTGCACTGGCTTTAATGCTGACAAAACCCAATCATCGTCACCTCATGTCTGGTACTGCCTGGACCAAAAATATGTGTGTGAACATACCAAAAGGGATGAAAACCTACTGAAACTAGAGTGGCGTTCTGCGCCTGCATGGGATGACGTGTCTGTCCGTATCGCAGGGGGCGGTATCTGTTTTCTCATTCAGAAGAAGAGACCAGGGGCCCCATGTACAAAGACTTGCGTTAAATTTATACTGAAACATTGCGTACGGACAAAGCTGTAAACAGGTAAAAAACTCAAATGTATGAAACACTGCGTATGCAGAATCCCACGCATATTCTCTTTGTACATCCGAACTAACGTGAAACTGAGCGCACGAGCGCAAAACCCCTCCCTCAACAGTTCAGTCGGCAGCTAGCTCTCTGAAACTCTCACATGGTCACCCACTGAAGCTAAGCAGGGCTGCGCCCGGTCAGTACCTGGATGGGAGACCACATGGGAAAGCTGGGTTGCTGCCGGAAGTGGTGTTAGTAAGGCCAGCAGGGGGCGGCCAACCTGCAGTCTGTGTAGGTCTTAATGCCCCAGTATAGTAAAAGGGACTCTATACTGCTCAGTGAGCGCCGTCTTTCGGATGAAACGTTAAACCGAGATCCCAACTCTCTGTGGTCGTTAAAAATCCCAGGATGTCCTTCAAAAAGATGAGGGGGTTAACCCCGGCATCCTGCCCAATTCTGCCCACTAGCCTCTGTCCATCATAGCCTCCTAACCCTCCCCATATCATAATTGGCTTCATGACTGTCACCTCTCCACCAATCATCCAGGTGGATGCTGCACACTGGTGGTGGATGAGGAGATTCCTCCTTATGTGTAAAGCGCTTTGAGTGCCCAGAAAAGCGCTATATAAATGAAAGGAATTAATTTATAACCACATGAGGGACAGTATATAGAGTAAATATTGTTTTTGGGTGAACTTTCCTTTTGAAGTAATCATTCATAAAGCAGTCAGTAATTCACATTCTTAGTTTTGTCTCTCACAGAATCATGGTAATTCTGCGTACCGAATGAGACCGCGTACTGCTGCATGGCCTCGGGATGCTTCTTTGCCAGCTGGTGAATGCTGTTGGCGTATGTGGAGAGAGACGTGGCGTATTCAACACAGTCCAGAGGTAAAACTGCAGAATCGGCTAAACTGAAGATCAGTCCGCCCCGAACACGAGCCACCGCCTCCAGTCTGCGAAATCGAGGGTCGTAGAAACGCTCCACGATCTCATAAGTCTCGTAAACGCTGTGATACACCGGATAACTGCTGTAGCGCTCTGTTTTCTGGAAAATAGGCATGAAAAAAAGCTTGAAACTTTTATATAACAATAAGAATAGAAGACAATACAATTCTGCACACAATCCAACCGGTGGCACGGTGGCTCAGTAGTTAGCACTGTCGCCTCACTGCAAGAAGTTTGCTGGTTCAAGTCCCGGCTGGATCAGTTGGCATTTCTGTGTGGAGTTTGCATGTTCTTCCAGTGTAGGCGTGGATTTCCTCCGGGTGCTCCTGTTTCCCCCACAGTCCAAACACATGCGCTGAAGGTGAACTGATTAACTAAATTGGCCGTAGTGTATTACTGGTGTGTGAATGTGAGTGTGTATGATATGCGCTTCCAATTAGTGGTTAAAAATAATAATTGTTGTTTTTACCTCAATTCTCTCTTATTAAACAGTATTTAATCTCTCTCTTAATAACAACATTTGAAGACGTCTTATCCCATGAGCTGACCGCTTCTTTTTGTGCATAATATTGTTTAATCTAATTAAAATGTTTTAAATCAAATCTATTATACAAAGGTGAGGTTGGCAAACAATTGGGCGAGATTATGATCCTATATGAGACTGTTATTATTGTGTATTCATTTTAAAATGATTTTTGGATCAAGCATTGTCCTTTTGGTTGCACCTTTTGGACTTGGACTCCAAACAGGCCCGGATTGGCTAATCGGGAGGACCGGGAGAATTCCCGGTGGGCCGGTCCATTTTTTTGGCCGCGAACATAGATATATACACTAGATGTCGCCTGGCCTATTGTTGTCTATTGGACGGAATGTGTCAATAGCGCCGCCATCTTGCTACAGGGTAGCGCTCCTTCGAAATGAATGCGGGACCAAGGTACAGTGGAGGACTGTGGCCATGCAAAGCCAGAGATATACACATATACACATTTATCTGTGATCAGGAGTTTTCCTGGATGTTAGTATGTAATTTTTTTTCTAATTACGAAATTAGAAACACAGCACCGACAGAACGCTAACCCAGATAGTCATGCAGTGTGAAAACATCTGTGACATGACTACTTTGAAAATCATGCAGTCTGATCTCAGCATTACTGTGAAACAAGACTCGGGCCAAGAGTGTGTGTGAATGAGGTGTCTTTATAGTTCTATTAATCAGTCCATTGCAGCTGTGTGAGTGTGTGTAATCAGGAGGAATCAAGAAGTGGTGTGTGTGTAAGATGCATGATGGGACTTGTAGTTCATTAAAGTGGCACATGCATGGAGGATCATCACAACGGCTTATTGTTTTGCTATGGAAACAAAGTCTTGCTCATCTTTTGATAACTGGCAGTAGGATGTTATGAGCTTCGTTGATTTGAAAAACTTTCGGTACACAATAAAGGGCAAATATTTAATTTTTTTATTTGTTTTTATTAATTATTTGTATATATTTTTTCTGATTTTGTGAACCTAATTAGGTTGGTTTCATAAATGTGGCTTCATTTTTTCTCTTAAACTTTTTTATTCTGTTTGTTATTTTACATGCTCTATAATTACATATCGAGTGGGGCGCTTTCATCTGTTTGTTTTGTATAATTTAGGGTTGGATAGTGTGCAGAAAATGTTCTTTCAATATCTTCGATCTTTATACTTTTATTATTATAAAAGTTTGATAAACATATTAAGTTTTATGAAGTGTCCAATACTAAACACTAAAGCATCACAAATAAACACACTTACCCGGTTTTTGGTGTATCTCGCCCTCCCAGACATAATTCCTAACCTGATAAAATATGCCTCAAAATCACTCCCAGAGCCCAGTTTACTGATCCTGCAGAGAGACCACAAACATCAACAGATTAACTTACGTCATGTTTTTAAAACCAATCGGCTTCTTCATGATGATTATGGTCATGAATGTGCAGTATTTTGTACCATGGCTTGTCTTTTTCTGGCCAGTTGTCTCGTTTGTGCCAGCTCTCGTATAAACTCATGCCCTCCTCTCCTTCCTCTGGGCTCGAAACCTCCACAAACACAAGATCCACATCACTTACAAATAGACAGAAACAGTAGATAGTCAGACAAATGGAAACAATGGTGGATGGATGGTTGACGGATTGAAAAATGGATAAATGAACAAATAGAATGAGAGATGGATTGATAGGCAAATGAATGGACAATAGTTTGGTAATAGATGGATGGGCTGAACGAACAGATGGATAGATGAATAGATGGATGAACGGATAGATGAAAGGGTTGACAGATAGATGGATGGGTCGACGAATCAAAGAACCAATGAATGGATGGAATGACAAATGGGTGGATGGATAGATGAATGGATGGGTGGATGGAAGGACTGACAGACAGATGGATGGACAGACAAAGATGGACTGATGGTTGGAAGGACCAATGGGTGGACAGACAGATGGAGAGATGAACGCATGGATGGATGGATGGAAGGACTGACAGACAAAGGGGATTAATGGATGGTTGGAAGGACCGATGGATGGATGGACAGGCTGATAGAAAGCAAGATGAATGGATGGATGGACTGACAGATGGATGGAAGGCAAGATGGACAGATGGATGGATGGTTGGAAGGACTGACAGATGGAAAGATAGACCAATGGAGGGATTAATGGATGGTTGGAAGGACCGATGGATGGACGCAAAGGCTGATAGATGGCGAGATGAATGGATAGATGGACTGACAGACCAATGGATGGAAAGATGGACAGACGGATGGTTGGTTGAAAGGACTGACAGACGGTTGGATGGACCGACAGACGGTTGGATGGACCAATGGAGGGATTAATGGATGGTTGGAAGGACCGATGGATGGACGGAAAGGCTGATAGATGGCGAGAAGAATGGATAGATGAACTGACAGATGGATGGATGGCAAGATGGACAGACGGATGGATGGTTGGAAGGACCGATGGGTGGACAGAGGGGTGGAGAGATGAATTTATGAATGAACAAATAAATAGAAGGACTGACAGATGAATGGATGGCTTGATGGAGGGATTGATCGATGAAAGAACCGACTGATGGATGGATGAATGTATGGTTGGAAGGAGCGATGGATGGACAGACAAATGGAGAGATGAATGCATGGATGGACGGATGGAAGGAAGGAGTGACAGATGGATAGATGGACCGATGGAGGGATTGATATATGGAACCGACAGACGAATGGATGGATGAATGGATGGTCGGAAGGACCGATGGATGGACAGACTGATAGACGGAGAGATAAATGAATGGATGGACTGACAGATGGATGGAAAAATGGACAGAAGGATGGATGGAAGAACCAACTGATGGATGGATGGATGGTTGGAAGGACTGATGGGTGGACAGACAGATGCAGAGATGAATGCATGGATGAACGGATGGAAGGACTGACGGATGGATGGATGGACCGACAGAGGGATGGATGGTTGGAAGGACTGATAGATGGATGGACAGACAGATAGATGGAGTGTTGAATGCATGGATGGACGGATGGATTGAAGGACTGACAGATTGATAGATGGACCAATAGAGGGATTGATGGATGGAAGAACCGACGGCTGGATGGATGAATGGATGGTTGGAAGGACAGATGGATGGACAGACTGATAGACGAAGAGATAAATGTATGGATGGACTGACAGATGGATGGAAAAATGGACAGAAGGATGGATGGAAGAACCAACGGATGGATGGTTGGAAGGACTGATGGGTGGACAGACATATGCAAAGATGAATGCATGGATGAACGGATAGAAGGACTGACAGATGGATGGATGGACTGACAGAGGGATGGATGGATGGATGGTTGGAAGGACCGATAGATAGACGAACAGACAGATAGATGGAGAGATGAATGGATGGATGGACTGAGAGATGGATAGATGGAAAGATGGACAGACGGATGGATGGAAGGACATATAGATGGACGGACAGACTGATGGCTCACTGGCTGGATGGACTGACAGACGGATGGATGGTTAGAAGGACTGATGAGTGGACAGAGAGACAGATGAATGGAGAGTTGAATGGATAGTGACAGACTGATGGATGGACAAGAGTATACATGGAAGAACTGACGGATGTACGGATGGATGGTTGGAAGGACCGATGGGTGAACAGATAGACGGAGAGATAAATGAGTGGATGGCTAGATGGATGGACAGATGAATAAATGGACAGATGGATAGATGGAATGACAGATGGATGTATGGAAGGACAGATGGATAATGGATGGATGGAGGAACAGATAAATAGACTGAAAAACAGATGAATAAATAAATGAACAAATGAATGGAATAGATGGACAGATGGATGGACAAACGGACAGATGGATGGACAAACAAATGGACTGACAGATGGATGAAGGAATGGATGAATCACTGGAATAAATGGATGGATAGATTGGTCAACAGTTGATGAATGGAGAGAAAAATGGGACAGATGATTGATGGAGGAATGGATAAATAGATTGAATAACAGATGAATGAATGAAATAGATGGGCGATAAATAGACTGGTAAGATGGATGGAGAGTTGGACAGACAAATGATAGATGGGTAGGCTGACTGATAATAAGATGGATAGATAGATGAATAGATAATAGATGTAGAGGAAGATAGACAATGGATGGATAGGTACACACAGAAAGATGGATGGATGAATGGCCAGGAACATGGATGGATAGATGGATTAACAGATGATGGAGGGATGTCAGATGGATAGATGAATATAGTAAGCAGGCTAAAAATTGAAAGAAAGACGGATGAATTTTACTGAATGTTTCTAAATGCACGTCTCACCTTTTTTGTAATGTCATAAACGAGAGTGTGTAGAGAAGGAGTGCAGTCAACCCTCAGAGTGTACATACCTACACACACACACACACACACACACACACACACACACTTAATATCTGCAGAGGAGAATATTAACAGATCGCCATATGTATGTGTGTGTTTCTGACCCTCAATAGCAGAGTCTGCATTGATGTAGGCCACCGCTCGCTCCTGCAGGACTCTGGCATTATCCTGCAAACAAGAACAGGCTGAGTTCACCAACCGCACAGATGCATGAAACCATTTGATCATTTATTAATTCGCACCTCTGCCCATTCTGTGGATCCCTGCAGCCCAAACTCTTCTGCATCCCAGCTGGCGAAGATCAGTGTCCTCCTCGGCCTCCAACCTAAAACACACACACACATTTTCAACACACACAATGCATAAAACAAAGCTAAATACTGTCCTGTCGAGCGAGATTGGCAGTAAAATGACCTTTTTTCATGAGTTTTCCCGCCGCTCTCACATTCTCGTGCACCACCGCAGCTCCAGACACAGGATCAATCCCTCCGAACACCCACGCATCTCGATGACCGCCCAGAATAATGTACCGGTCTGCACACACACAGACAAAACAGTACAACATACAGCCATGCAGACTTACACAACTTTAAAAAACTACACATTAACTAAAACCACACAATAGTAGGGGTGTGCAATATTTATTGTCATTAATGTAATATGTCAATTACTTTCAAACACGGTCTTGCTTAAATCAATTGTACCACTTGTTGCGTATTTGAGTCCAATGGCCATTGAGATAAAAACAGCAACATTTTACAAGATTATTGTGTATTTTCACAGCAAAACACACACATTGAAGCATATAATGCCATCAGTTTTGTGGAAACACACCACAAAACCAGTCATTTTAGTCTGCTATTTAAAAAGTTAATAAATAAAATCTCTCCGCTATGTGATAGTTACATCTTAGACACAATATTGTCTTTTTTAAAATATTTTCCTGTTTTGTGAATGAAAATATTACCTTTTCTTGTACCTTAAAACAGAACCCAGACGCCCTTCCAGCTGCAACCCATCTCTGGGAAACATCCATACACACTCATTCACACTCATACACAATTTAGCCAACCCAATTCACCTGTACCGCATGTCTTTGGACTGTGGGGGAAACCGGAGCACCCGGAGGAAACCCACACGAGCGCAGACAGAACATGCAAACCAAAGCTCGAACCAGCGACCTTCTTGCTATAAGGTGACAGCACTACTTACTGCGCCACCACACTCTAAACAATGTCAGGTTATTTCAACCCAAATGCTGGGTTAATTTTTTTAATTAAATAATTGGACCAAATATCACTCAGTGTTTGGGTTAGTCCATATTTTACCCACTTTGGGTTTAATAACCCAGCTATTCTTAGTGTATATATTTCTGTCAATATCGCACACCCTTAAGGCTGATTTATACTTCTGCATCAAGCGCACACGCATGCTATGGCACAGCCTGCGTGTGGACGCATAGCCCTCTTAGACTTAGAATATCTTTATTGTCCCCGAAGGACAATTAAGTTTACAGCAATAGCCGACAATTGACAGCAACAAGTCACATTTGACAACATAAAATAACAGTAAACAATGCAATAATCACTTAAAGCTTATTTAGTAACCCAACAGCCGTTGGAACAAATGAGTACAAGTATCTATTGGACCTTGCCCGTCTAGAATAAGTGTACCTTCTGCCTGATGGCAGGAGGCAAAACTTTAAATAAAGTGGGTGGTTCTCATCTGCTAAAATGGACATGACCTTCTTTATAACTCTCTGCTCATACACTTGTCCAATACTGTTAAGATTGACCCAGGGTCTTTTGAGATTGATAAACAATTTTTGAAAGTCTGTTTTTACTTGTCACCCTCAAATTACCATACCAGCATATTACTGCAAAAGTTAAAAGAGTCTCAATAAAAGAAGAATAAATGTCCTAAGGTGAGGCCTATCCACATTAAATCCCTTCAACTTCCTCAAGTAGTCTTTGATTTGCCTTTTTACAGATAAAATTAGTGTTGGCCTCAAAGTTCAATTTGTCATCCAAAATGGTACCCAGATATTTATACTCACTTACTGTCTCGACAGCGGGACCGTTTATAGTAGTAGTAGTAGCATTAGAAATAGAGTTACGGCGAAAATCAATAAGCATCTCTTTAGTTTTTGAGATATTAAGTTGTAAATATGAGTCTTTGCACCATGCAACAAAGTTGTCCAACACTGGACCATGACCCTCCTCATGATCATGCAAAAGACTAACAATGACAGACCGTCGGCGTCACTGACGCACACCTCTTAAAAACTGCAATTACCAGTCGCAACGACGCATAGCGCAAGCTCTGTGATTGGTCGGCTTGGTAGCGCTGACGAGTGTGGGCGGGATTGAGAGCCGTGCAAGCCCGATAGAATGATTGTTTACAAGTGTGGAGTCCCGTGAAGGAGCTCCAGATGGAAAGTTTTGTTTTTTTGTTTACCTCATGGTTAAAGTTGTTGCACATCCGCCGGTTCCTGCCTCAAGATGAGCGAGTTTGAACCACTTGTAGATTAAGGAAGCGTTCAGAAAAAACAAAACACCAGTGAAGAAACTCGACACAGAGGAACATAAACTCCTCACTGCCAACTAGCGTTTCGGAAATGTTATTGCTGAGCAACAGAAACAGCGTTCAGAAGTATAAATGCACAGCTACATGCGTTGCATGCGGGTCACGCTGATCACTTGACGCAGAAGTATAAACCAGGCTTTAGACTCTAGAGTAACATCACCTGGCTCGACTGCTCCTCTGATCCAGCCAATCACATTGTAGATACGGGTCACCTGATTGTTAGTGTGGATGTTCATACGCACTTTTCTAAAATGAAGGGAAAAAATTAATATTAATAATACACAAACACAGTGCTTTATCATGATTATACAATCCAGTAAATAACCAGTATATACACTGATATGTTCGATTAAATCAACAGTTGAATTCCTAGGTAGTTCATAAACTGTAAGTTGCTTTAGATAAAAGCATTTCCAAATATGCATACATGTAAATTAACGCTTCATTATGGTATTTATAGTCTGCAGAGACTCCAAACACAAGGCCATTGTGTGAAATTGGCAGACCTCCAGAGTTCATTACTGAAAAACAACAGGGTCACAAATGTGTGTGTGTGTGTGTGTGGTGGGAACAAATGTGTGTGACTGATGAACACACAGATCTCTCTGTACTGCTGACATCATGCATAAAAACGAGTTGAAGATTAGCAGGAGCGTATGAATGTATGTGTGTGTGTGTGTGTGTGTACAAGCTGATTATGCAAAGTGTAAAGTTTAAGTTACACTTCATTACAATCAGGATCACAGGTTGTGGGTTAAAGAGCGGTGATGGATTGCGTTTAATGTTCAGCTTGGTGGTAATGTTCAACCTCGTTCTTAAAAATAAAACCCTTAGATATATAGATAATGTAGCTTTGTTGAAATAAACCTGATGTTTGGTGCATGTGAGTGATCCTGAAGAGGAGAAATATACAAATTGAGATCTTTTGCTTAAGGGGGCTATTGATATTTACCTTTAAATGTTTTTTAAAAATTAAAAACTGCTTTCATTCTAGCCGAAATAAATCAAATAAGACTTTTTCCAGAAGAAAGAATATTATAGGAAATACTGTGAAAAATTCACCGCTCTGTTAAACACCATTCGGGAAATATTTGAAAAAGAAAATAAAATTCACTGGAGGGTTAATAATTTTGACTTTAACTGCACAAATTGTGATTTAATCTACAAATGCAATAAAATAAACGCTAAATGTATATTTTGGATGCTTTTCTTTCAGTAGCCTGACAGAATAGATTATACAGCCTAACACAGTGTCCTAACAACATGCGGCGTGATAAAAGCTGTATTTTCCATTATAAACTCGTTGTTGTCTTAACATCTGCGGCATCGATACGTGAAGTTTCTATTTTAGAAACGCTTTCTATTTCCATGCTGTCGCAGCAGAACAACACCCTAAACTACTATGACAAAGATCACCTCAGGAACTGATTATGGGCTTTATTTCGTGTTAAATGCTCCCATTGTACACTGTAAAAAACCCTGGTTGCCTTAAATTTGAATCAAATTAACCTTATGAGTTCATTAAACTTATGATATGTTAAACTGACTTAAAACTTTTAAAATATTAAGTTAGATCATGATTAACTTTGTTTAATAAGTTACAATGAACTAAAAACATATGCTGTCAGGACTAATTGATTGCACATTCAAGTGAAGGGCACATTCGCATGGTATTTAAAACGAAACTAATCACATGGTGCTCTGTGGCGCGGCAGAAATATGAACAGTATCCTGAGTCGTGGCTGGGCGCCGCCCACTTGCGCCGACGGTGTGTGTACCCTGATAGAAACCCATGTTTAGAATTCTAAAATGCATGGCGCGGCACGTCTCCGAGTGGCACTTCTGGTGTGCGACCTGCTTTAGTTTAAATACTAATACTACTGAAAGCAACGGCAGATAGTTCACCTCAGATCTTGAAAAAATAAAATAAAATGACTCGCAGATGGTTTTAAAATGAAAGTCTGAACTGTGACTCCCAACAGCAGTCACTCATTAGCCGATTAATAATATTTAATATTAATATATTTAATAAAAATTAACAGGTATTAATTAGATTAAAACACTTTACCATTTTAATTGGGAGTGCAGTGGCTGCTGTTTAAGGGCGCACTCACACTATGCTATCTGAACCATGTCCAGGCGTATTTCGCTGTTCGTTTGAGAAGTGTGAGTGCTCTAAATCGGGTTCAGGTGCGGTTTACTTGGCTGGTCCTGGCCCAGTGGAAGAGGTCTGCCAGAGCGTGGTTCACTTGGGCTTTGGCGCGGTGTGCTTCTAGAGTGCAAAGCGCGCCTGAGCCCGAAACTGAAGACGAGACGTGCCTTTTAAGGGACTGTTTCATATGGATTTAATAATCCTTCTTAATTTTCAATAAAAGCAAACTGTCGTAGATTATTAAAGACGCAAACCCCTCACTGCACGACAGATGCGACTTTAGCAAACCTCCAACTTTAGTGTCAAAATCTGCGCTGATCTGTTAGGTGAAGTATTTGACTGTCACTGCATATCAAACAACAATTATATAACTCAAGAAATCTCCACTGAGCTGAGCGAGAGCGCTTCTGTTAAACTGTACAGCGCATCATCGATGAGGCAAGCGTGCTTCAGCTCGGATGCAATGTGAGTTCAGGCTGTTGGGGCAGAGGGGAGTGGGGACAAGCTTTGACTTGGTTCAAGGCAACTGTACATAGTGCGATTACGCCGTAAATGTTTCTGTCATGTCACGTTGCGTTTGGTGCAGAGAGACAAATTGCTGAAATCGTCGTGTGTTGTTAGGACACAGCGTAAAACTGACCAGTGCATGAACAAACTAAAGGTTTTACTGTATATATAGGTGTATATTAAGTCATACTTCTGACGGAAACCATCTGTGAATCCCGGTCCGATTCTGTACGAGACATTAAGCGCACCTTTCCAGCTGTCTGGAGGAGCAGGTCCTCCCATATTCCTGGAGGAAGAGACTTTCAGTTCATTTCAGATAAACTAAGACACAAAATGCAGTTGTAAATCAATAAAACAAGCATGCCATCCGCTTATAAAATAAAATAATAAATAAATAAAACACTATTCCTCATTCAATATGATTATGAATTTATTCTTATGAACATTTCAATAAAATTAAAATATTAAAAGTAAAATATTAAAATATTTTATATTTAAAATATTAAATGTATTAATATTAAATTTTAATAAAGCAACAAAACGAGCATGTAATAGGCTTTAAACTTTACCTCATTTAATATGATATTAAATAATACTAACTAATATTATTAAGTTATTATTCATTCATTCATTCATTTTCTTTTCGGCTTAGTCCCTTTGTTAATCCGGGGTCGCCACAGTGGAATGAACCGCCAACTTATCCAGCACGTTTTTACGCAGCGGATGCCCTTCCAGCCGCAACCCCTCACTGGGAAATATTCATTCACACTCATACACTACAGACAATTTAGCCTACCCAATTCACCTGTACCGCATGTCTTTAGACTGTGGGGGAAACAGGGAGAACATGCTAACTCCACACAGAAACAACAACTGACCCAGCCGAGGCTCGAACCAGCGACCTTCTTGTTATTAAGTTATCAATTATTATGAATTATTGGTATTATCATTCGTTTTTAAGTGAATCAAACAAGCATATGATCAGCTTAGGGTTTTAAAAAGGCTAACACTTTCCTTCCAGTTAATATGACTAGGGCCAGACAGAATCTGCAGAACATTTTTGCTAGTTCTGCAGAGAATATTAAAAAATCTGCGGATTTATGCGACATTATTTTGGGAGTATCGAAACTAAAAACTTAATATATGAAATAAAAAATAATACCTTTTTAACTTGTATTTAATGTTCACAATGCAAATCCAATTAGATTATTTGGTAAACAAAGCAAGTCTCTTATATAATATCTCTACTAAAAGACAGAAAATATTACTGTACAAACTGTATTGTAAATTAATCATATCAACATTTTAATATTACTATTATTATATCATTAGTGAAATAATATTAGTGAAATGTATTTAAAAACTGAGCAAATTAAAATTTACACACATTTACACAAGTAAATAAATAGACTCGATGGGCTACAAATCTGCAGATATTGTGTGGGCCTAAATATGACTAATAAATATATGAAAATTTAATGATAATTATTAAATCGTTTTTGTTGCTGTCATTAGTATTATCCTACATATTTGATTGTATAAAAAATATGCAATCAGTCTAGGAAAAAGAAAATATTCAATAGGATGATAAAACTGGATTTTTGTTTTGATTGAAGTATTAAATATATAAATATTTATATGTTGTATATTGATAAAAAAAAGATAGAGGGAGTGTTTTTTAGAGAGAGATAGAATGTTACTACAGTTGGTTTGTCAAGCCCACTCACCTATGTGAGGCACACTTCATAAGTATGGTTTATTTATGAACTAATTTCGAGAGGATCACGTGCTTATGATGAACATGGCTGCACCTCATCAGCTTTGTAATCTGCTCTATTAGATGATTACAGAAGCATTATAAATAACCAGAGTTTTTCACTCCAGTTATCTTCGTCTTGAAGTTTCCCCCCCTTCCACCTCTACCCTCCACCCTATTCTGATAGGGCGACACGGTGGCCCAGTGGCTAGCACTGTTGCCTCAAAGCAAGAATACAGCCGGTCCGACCTCCTATTGGGCTGGTCGGTGTTTCTGTGCGGAGTTTCTATGTTCTCCCCGTGTTTGTGTGGGTTTCCCCCGGGTTCCCCGGTTTTCTCCCACCGTCCAAAAACTTACACAATGGCCAATCGACTAAACCAAATTATAACCAAAGTTTACACTTCTCACACGGCAACAGCAGAGGAGTTGTCGAGACCAACCTGAGCTCGAACTCCCCTCTCGACCTTCTAACGGGAGGGAACCCCGGGCTCGAGGATATTACGAGCTCAGGGCTCTCTTCCGGGACAGCATGCCAAATACGCAAGTGTGAACTCTTGAAATAAAATGTTATTTTTTTTACTAATAGTAATACTAATACTTTTGTCTTCTCTAAGGGAGTGTGTTGTACTCACTGCAGCAAATGAACTGCATCATGAAATCCGATGGGATGCACAGGAATTTTGGGAAGGCCCACTGCATCCTCCAGACTGGACCTGTATGTGTATTCTGGACATTGAGGAGACACACTGGTCAACACCGATCATTGATGCAGAATCTCTCTCTCCCACACACACACACACACACACACACACACCTTTAGCAGGGTATCCTGGTGTGAGAGGGTCTCCGGCTCCATTCAGATTCAGCACGTTCCCCCTTTGAGCGCCTCCACCGGGCAGATTCCAGCCTTTAGGGTATGGCTCTACATCCTCCGCCCAGTAATCCGCAGGGTCCGAGAACAGTATGATCCCTTTAGCGCCCGCTAGCACCGCATTCTTCACCTGAAAAGGACAGTTTACCCAAAAATTTTACCAAAGTTATCTATCGACATTATTGTAACTGAAATTACACTGCACGGTCTAGGTAAAATACAATTATTTGACATCTTAAAGGGGACCTATTACGCAAAATAATTGCGAAAAATCTTTATAAGGGGGTTTACACAGTTGTGTGGCAGCAGAGTGTGACTATAAGCAGCTCCTTATAGTAAAAATGCATTAATTGTATTTTTTTATAATCACACTTGATAAAAAGAGTCTGCAGAAACACTTTGATTGACATTCTCCCTTTGTACGTGTCATCAGAGGGGGAAAGCCCCGCCCACAAGTGACTATCTCTCCCTCATTAGCATAAACAGCCCTGAGTGAGAAGCAGCTGTACGCCATTAGAGTTTTGAATCTGCCACTTTGCTGATGTATAGGCATCTGTAGCTCCACCCTCTTTTAAAAAAGCACAATCTCATTTGCATTTAAAGCAACAGTCACCAAAATGGCACCATTAGCCTAAAAGGGTCAGATTCAAAGAGTTATAAAACATTATCTGTGTGATATTTTGAGCTGAAAGTTCACCTAACACTCTGGGGACATCAGAGACTTATTTTACATGTTGTAAAAATATAATAGTATGGATGTTAATAACTGTTTAACTCCTTGCCAGGACTTATTAATAATAAAGCTGCTTTATTTGTAAGTGTTTTATGCAAAATACCAGTTATTGTTCCAATAACTCTAATTTGCATCTGGAAACATACTGACTGCTTCCATCATTCTCATACCTGTCAACATTGGGATGCGAAAATAAGCCATATGCCCACCATAATAAGGGATACCTAAAAAAAATCCCCAAATTAATAACTATGTTCATTTGGACATTTGGAGCTGTTTTATTGTAAATAAACAGTTAAATGGTCAGTAATATGTTTTATTATTATTATTTACAAAAGAATACATTAGCAGCAAATACATTAGCAAACAGTTCAGCTTATTAAAATTAGCTATTATAAAAAAATAGAATCAAGTTATGAAATCAGTCGTTTCTTCACTGTATAACTTACACCTTCTGATTAAAGAGCAACGAATGAATTTTTTTTGTTCGATTACATTAAATAACAGGTGTCACTTTAAAAAAGCACACATCTAACGTTATAATGAAAGCATTTGACTGCTTTCCCAACTTTTTATGCTCATTCACGACAAAATTAGTTGTGTTTGTAAAAAAAAACACCAAGATATTATTCTAGATCAGTGGTTCTCAAACTGTGGTACGTGTACCACTAGTGGTACGCGGGCTTTCTTCTAGTGGTACATGGAGGAATGAAATATGTCATGTACATGCTAAATACATTTCAAAATTTATTAAAAATGATGTATTTAATATGCCATATGACATATAGCCTATATTTCTGAGGTAATCTGCCACGTTTTTTTAACTGTGCAGAGTTGTAGCTGCTTTACTGGGCCTACTACACTACTGAATTTCAATACTGCTCATTTAGGTGGTACTTGGAGAGAGATTTTTTTTCTGAGGTGGTACTTGATGAAAAAAGTTTGAGAACCACTGTTCTAGATTATTCTAGATATTATTACATCTTTAGATATTATTATTATTAATTATATGTATATGTCTGTTTAACCACGCACCCAAAACCCAGATTTTCGCTCCGCTTCAAATTGTGTGTACAGAATCCGTTTGGAAAACAGTGTCTATTTATCACTATACAGCACGTCTGCTGACAGTCACGCAGCGCTATATGACTGCTCTGAGGATTACATATGAAGGGGAGACGGCACCTGTAATGAAAAGGAAAGGGAATCTCTCCATTTTTATATTTATTTCAAAATGTTTTCTCGCCTAAACAAAGCGAAAGCACAGAACAGACTCATATTTAAGAGCAAGGGGCGGCACCTGGTGGTTTGGCAATATGGGTTGCGTAAAGGGATTCCTGGCTCTTTAATGTTTATTTGCTACCCTTCAGAGAAAGAGAAATACGGGAAAATACCTTTTAGGGGATGATCGTGGGATAGAACTGTAAAATACGGGAGAATCCTGAAAAAAACAAGCAGCAACCTCCCGCTCTCCCTCAGGAAGAAAATACGGAAGTAACTAAAACTGCTATTCATCCGAAATTCCGCTAGTCCTGGCCGCTCCTGGCTCCAAAACAGAGCAAATTTCAATTGAGCCCACTGTTAGAATGGCCAACTTTACAGCAGAAAAAAAGGTGTTTACAGCCTGATACAAAGAACGATTTTGGTTAATACAGCTAATATTACCCTTCATAACAACTGTGAGGGGGTGGATTTTCTAATAACTCATCCGTTTCCTTTATATTAAGTTATATTAAGTTTGCATAATTAAGGGAGTGGCCACTTGAGTGACAGCTAGGTCTCGTTGGTCGCCGTCACGTCACCTCAGCTGAATCCTGCAGATTAGCCACTGAACTCGGCATGTTTATCGTATTTCTGTATTGTTTTATGTGGCTTTACACAGTCAACTGCCTTTTGGACTTGTTTCCTACAATTATTAGATGGCATGGCATGCTGAGTGCACTTAATTGTGCTCACAAACCGTTCACATGGCCTCCGTTTCCCATGTGAGTAAAGTTATATACTTATATACCATCTCCATACATGTATTTGTTTTATTTAAGATCATTTATCGTTTATATTTATATTTAGAGCTGTAATGCACTGCAGAATCTGACGGATTGATTAGCTGTAGGCTCTAGAACAGTCGTCTGAAGCGTTGTCATACAGTGTTATGCTGGATTTCATCAATAGTCTTACATTAGCTAACACAGACTATTTCTGAAGTGTTTGGAAGTAATTCGCGTTTTCCTCCTGTTGAGAAACGTCATAAGAACAGTGTTTAGTGGCTCAATGTATTACAGCAGTGTTTTTAAAAGTCTAAACACTTTATTGATATAGTATACAACCAAGCACAAGTGGTCAGAACACAACCGAGTCACAGGTGATAAAGTATTAAGCGTTCTCCCTAAGTAAAGTGTGTCTGAACCAGGTCCAAGCAAAATGCCAGCAGGTGTCTGTTGCTCCGCTCACTCTCCGCCTCTTTGCCCATGTTTGGTATCCCGCCGTGGGTGTGATGACGCGCGAACAAAATGGCGACGGTTGGCCGCGCCTACTTGTGGCTTCTTTTGCGCTCTTCAGAAACTTATGGGTGACGTCACGGATACTACGTCCATATATTTTACAGTCTATGGGGAAAAACGGGAGGGTTGACAGGTATGATCATTCTTCAGAATATATATTATAATTTATAATATCTATATTATTATAATATAGAATATATAAAAATATATATTGTACATTTTTGGGTGAACTATTTTGGTGAGCCGCCAATACCACTACAACTAAACATTACCTTATTCCCCCGGAAGATTTTGCCGTATCTGGCGATGAGGATTTTTCCTGTACAGTTTATTCCCAGCTCACGCTCCAGCTTAAAGAAATCCTCTGTCCGTCCATAATTCACATACACCAGCTCATCCTACAGATCACAAGCAAACATTTTGTGCATGCAAATCCAGTTTATTAAAAAATAAAATCTAGGCTGCATTTATAATCATTAATGCATAATCATTACAGAACAGGTAAGTGACTTTCTAAGTCGCCCTCTTTCTTTTGAATGTTGTACTGCTGTGTTTATACTATAGTAATTGTAGTGTGCTGAGAGTGAGATGGGACCCATCTTAAAGTCTTAAGACCGGAGATGGCCATCTGTTTCTAATGAGTCTCCTGTTTTCGCTACTGCAGACTACTTCAGTAAACAGAAAGAAAGAAGAAATGCCCGCATGTGATAAGGAAAAACGCTAAACACAAACACAACAGTAATCTGCTAGTGTTTGCGTTGCTTTGGCTTTTTCTGGATTAATTATTGTGATCTTCTGATTGCAACAGAGAAATACTGGGAAATCTTTGTAGACTGATGGCATTTCATGTCGTTCAGCCTTATAATCTTAAAATGTTAGCAAAATCCCCTGTTTTGTCATAACTTTAGACCAGGGGTCCGTTCTTCGTACCTCGCTTAAATGATCTAAGATGATTTGGCAGATCCGGGATCTTTTAATCTTGATAACTGATCTCTCGCTAATTTGGTTCTCCAAACAAGTTCGCGAATCAGATTAGAATATCTGGATGAACTGATCTGAGATCGCTTCATTTGTTGTTAAGGACAGATCTATCGATCCTAGAAATCATGATCAGCAATGCAACGATTGGCTGACGGCACAGCAGCGTAATGACATCATCTGATTAATATTCTATTATCCATGTGAGCAAAATTACATCAAATTAGCAGTAAACGGTTTGTTAAATATGACACGCAATAACTCCACATTTGTTGTGAGCTGCAGGCTTTACACTTTCATGTGTCAAGACAAGAGTATTCATCATGTATTTCAATGCAAATCAATGTATTTAGTTCTTCATTTAGAAAAGATTTTCTTTATTACAGTAACCGTTTTTTAATCGGTGTAAAGAATAACTGGTTGTTTCCAAAAGCATTTTGATATTGGTAAAGGCATCTGCAACTTTTGTGAAGCATCACTGGCATATTAACTGTCAAAACATGTTTATGACTGCATAAATGTATTATTGCTTTAAAAAAAGTCACATATTGTGCATTTCTATTGTATACAATTTGTACTAAAGCGATCTAAAAAGTTCATATCAATAAGTTTTCTCTTTGCACCACCAGGTGGCAGTCTTTGTACTTTCATTTCAAGGGTGCAGATTGCATACGTTTTATTAATATGTATAACTTTATTTGTTTTATTAATGACTATAACTTTATATATATAGTTAAAAAATATTTACTCTTTTCCCAAGTGTATATAACTTTTACTGTAAGAAAATATCAGAACTCGGAACATACTTTCTGTATTAACTTTGCTTGAACTGAGCCGATCTAATCCTGTTTATATGATTTGAACCTGCTCCCGATCAGGTTTGACCTAGCAGATCTGTTCCCATTACAACAACTCTCGGATCAGCTTTGAAGAACGAAACGATCCTGGATCGTTTCAAATCGTCAATATCCAAATCCAGCTAACTGAGTAATCCACGTACGAAGAACGGACCCCAGGGGTCACCAACATGGTACATTAGGTAGCCCGCGAGGATCACATGTGTTGCCCGCAGGCCTGTTCTAAAAAAATAGCTCACCATAGCGCCACTTACCAGTAAGCTTCATCTAATATAGAAGTAATCATTTAAAAATATAAATATTTGCAGAGAAGTGTTGCACATTGATACATTAAATACAGGGTATTTCCTACCCTGTTAAATCATTGTTGATAACTTTTGTGAGAATCATGATCAGTGTCTTCATATGGATGAATATTATTAATTATTACCAAAAACATAAAGTATAATTAAAAGTAAATTGAGCAAATTTGTTATTTGAGAAGTGTTTATCAAACTGGTAGCCCTCCACATTAATCGGTACCCAAGAAGTAGCTCTCAGTTTCATAAAGGTTGGTGACCCCTGCTTTAGACATTACGCTAGAGAATCATTCAAATGCTAGAAAGTAGTTCCTCATATAAAAGGGTTTTGAGATTCTCTGTAATTGATTTTCTATTTTATACACACAATTATCCTTTTGAACTGTACAAATGCAATATCACATGAGTAGCAGTGCGATGTGGCTGTATATCGTTACTGGTGGGACACTAAGGGTGCCTCCTACAACTGCCGATATACATCGCACTGCTACTCATGTGATATTGTTAATATATTTATATATATATAAATATATATATATATATATATATATATATATATATATATATATATATATATATATATATATATATATATACACACATGATGCTTCACATTGTAAAAACTGCAATCCTTTTTATTTAATTTGATTACATAACATATAGAAAGTTGAAATTGTAAATGTCGAAACTGCAACGTTTGATTAATTTAATTTGCCTCCTTGCCAAATAAAATTATTCATTTATATTAAAAAGTTATTGTGAATGAGATACACATGAATCAATTACTAACATTCACTCAGAAAATCAAGTCTATCAGTTTTATTTCTATGTTGAATGGTAAAGCATGTGTCAGTGTTAGTTTCTTCACCTCTGGTTGTCCTTTAGCAGAGAACGCGCTGTACGGAGGGACAATATCAGCCACGTCCTCATAACCTTCTGGAACCGGCTCAGCTAGAGAGGTTTTGAAGATCTGAAAGAGAGAAACAGACAGATAGACTTCTATTATGGACTATATTCACTAGAAAACATCAACGGACACACATTAATGGATTTTAACCTGTCACCATGGCATCAAAGCTGGAGTCGCTACTCACAGCCTTAATAGTGATGAGATAACGGTCCTTAAAACACACAGACACACCACAAAATCTTACTGATGCCATGAATAAAAGGAGGGTGTAATAAAGGTTCTTTGTGTGGGAAGAAGGAGGCGGAGAACCGACGCAGCACCCGCGAGACCTATATGAGACGGGCCGAGAGAAAAGGAGATGAAAAAAAAGGAGGAAAGACAGAGTAGACCGAGAAAGGGGAGAGAGAAAAAAAAATAAATTTGGGGTTCGGTTCTCCAGACACGCTGCCACTCAGTCCTCCACCAGTTGAGAGATGCGACGACGTGCTGGGAGCCCTGTGGAGGAATCTATCCACCCGTCCGTCTTCTGGCATCCGGCGGTGGCTCTCCTGGCGGCATTTCTGGTCTCCTGCTCTGCTCCCGCTTCAGTGGACGGATGCAGGCTCTGGCATCATGGCGGATCGCGGCGACTCCCCCGGGTTCTGTGGGATGGCTCCCTTCAGCACTTTCCCTTCTGGTGGTGAGCCCCGCATCCCCTGCTCCTCCCCATGCTGGGAGACGGCAGCAGGCAGATCCTTTCCTCGCCAGCCTCAGGCCGCCCCGGCACTCTGGGCAGACGAACGGGTTTCTCCCCCACTTGGGTTAACTCCCAAACACTCGCCCCCTCTCTCAGCGGCGAGGGCATCTGGACAACGCGTCCCTCCTTCTCCCGGGTTTCGGCACCACTGTAATAAAGGTTCTTTGTGTGGGAAGAAGGAAGCGGAGAACCAACGCAGTTTTAAAATATTTATTAATAACCGTGACGGCAGCTCCGAACCAAAACAAACGGACGGCAGCTCCTCACGGAGACTGCCGTCAAACTGAAAGCAAAAGTAAAATATGTCCGGCCCGGTCCTCTCTCAGCTTCCTCTGCCATCGGTCCTCCTTTTATGGTCCAGAGCTCCTTCCGTGGGATCCGAGGCAGGTGCGCACCACAGGTGTATCCACTTACGCGGTGGCCTCACCTCGTTCCCACGGCTCTCGGCCACGCCCCCTCGCCACAGAGGGGTTCAGTATGCATTCATTCATTCTTAGGCCCTTTATTATTCAGGAGTCGCCACAGCGGAATGAACCACCAACTTATCCAGCATATTTTTTACGCAGCGGATGCCCTCACAGCGGCAACCTAACACTGGGGAACACCAATACACACTCATTCACACACATACACTACGGCCAATTTAGCCTACCCAATTGACCTATAGCGCATGTGTTTGGACTGTTAGGAAAACCGGAGCACCCAGAGGAAACCCACGCCAACACTGGGAGAACAGGCAAACTCCAAACCAACAACCTTCATCTGTGCTGTGAGGCGACCGTGCTAACTACTGAGCCACCGTGCTGCCTAGATTCAGAATTAAACCTTATTTATTATTTGAGGCCTGTTTTGAGGGTTTTACTATGGTAGGTTTGCATTTAGTTTGAGGAAGCTCTTGAGTTTTTGGGCTCAAGAAGGTGGATTGGTTTTTGATTGGGGTTTTTTGCCAATGGTAACTTGCGCTACACAGCTAACTTTCTCTAAAGCAGGTTTTATTCTGGGTATAAGATTAAATGGATCCATCAGCTGTGAGTAAAGTGACAATATTCATACATTTTTGAGGCGAAATTGTCTTTTGTTACCAATAATTTATTTATATTAAATTATTATATATAATATATATACAGTTGAAGTCAGAATTATTAGCCCCCCTTTAAATTATTTTCTTCTTCAAATATTTCCCAAATGCTGTTTAACAGAGCAATGTCATTTTCACAGTGTGTCTGATAATATTTTTTCTTCTGGAGAAAGTCTTATTTGTTTTATTTGGGCTAGAATAAAAGCAGTTTTTAATTTTTTAAGCACCATTTTAAGGTCAAAATTATTAGCCCCTTTAAAGCTATATTTCTTCCGATAGTATACAGAACAAACCATCGCTATACAATAACTTGCCTAATTACCCTAACTTGCCTAGTTAACCTAATTAACCTAGTTAAGCCTTTAAATGTCACTTTAAGCTGAGTACTAGTATGTTGAAAAAAATCTAGTCAAATATTATTTACTGTCATCACGGCAAAGATAAAATAAATCAGTTATTAGAGATGAGTTATTAAAACTATTATGTTTAGAAATGTGCTGAAAAAATCTGCTCTCCGTTAAACAGAAATTGGGGAAAAAATAAACGGAAGCTAATAATTCACGGGGGCTAATAACTCTGACTTCAACTGTATATATCTTTAAATATTATATACTCAAATAGTTTTGAGTTGTCAATTAATGTTAGTAATAGCCAGGGACAGACGGAATCTGCGGACGTTTTTTGCTATTTCTGCGGAGAATTTTGGTAAAAATCTGCGAATTTTCGCGGAATTATTTTGGGAGTATTCAGCGGAATATCATAACTAAAACCTTAATATATTAAATAAAAGTAATAAATTACTGAATAAAAACTGAATAAATTCAGATTTACACATTTACTCAAGTAAATAAACAGAATTAATAATGGGCTAAAAATCTGCAGAAATCTGCGGAAAATCTGCGGAATTCTGTGCACGCAGATTCCGTGTGGGCCTGGTAATAGCTTTAAAGTTTGTCTGGAGTTTGTCATGACTCTAAGCAGGATTATTATTACTATTATTATTATAATTGTCAGACTATTCTGTTTAAATTTTGTTAAAATGGCCAGATTCTGAGGTTGAATGTGCTGGCCAGTTTGTTATTTGCCTATAGCCTTCAGTTTTTAATTATTTATTTATTTTAGGGGTTTCACCTTTATTGTAAGGACAGTGGAGATTTACAGACAGGAAAGTGTGGGCAGCAGAGATAGGGAAAGGATCAGCAAGGGACATCGAGCCAGGAATCAAACTCAGGTCTCCGCAAGCACCTCTGTGCTATGTGTCAACGCACTAACCATATTCTCAGAAATAAAGGTACGCAAACTGGGTATCTCAAGGGTACATATTAGCAGGGGCGCCGCTGGCCGCCACGGGCCCTTTGACAAGTAATCGTGAATGAAGGTGTGTGGGGTTGAGGGTAGGAGGGAGTGGGGTTGGGGACTGGGGGTGATTGCGGATGAAAGGTAAGACCTGGGGCTGGGTTGGGGGGGGTTGATCGTCTTAACTTTCCCCCCCTTGAGGCGCCCTGCATATTAGTACCTAAAATTTACTTAAGTGTTCCTCTTAAAATTTGTAGTTACTAATTTATACTTTTGAGGTACCAATATGGACCCTTCAAGAATAAATATGTTCTTGCACTAGGCTATTGGTGCCGGCTTTAAATTAATCTTAATTTAAAGTAAGTTTAAAAAGTGTTCAAAGTTCAAGTTAAAAGCTTTTTTAGGTGAAGTTTATTTATAAACTAATTTAGAGAGGAGCGTGTGCTTATGATTGATAGCACCTGGTCCTCGTTAGCTAACACTGATTTACCAATCAGACGACTCCTTAACCTCTATAAATCACCAGAGTATCTTACTTCAGCCATCTTCGTCTTGAAGAATCCCCCCCTTCCACCCCTACTCCTCCCCTTTCCTTGTCAGGGCAGCACGGAGGCTTAGTGGTTAGCACCACGGCCGCACAGAAAGAATGTCACCAGCTCGGAAACTTCCTGGCCAGGTCAGCGTTTTGCATGTTCTCATCATGTTTGCGTGGGTTTTCACCGGGCTCTCCGGTTTCCTCCCACAGACCAAAAACATATAACATAAGTAAATTGACAAATCTAAATTAACAGCATAGACACTTCATAGCATTTTAATCTACTTCCAACATTATCAAGCAGGGGAGTTCTCGAGACCTACCTGAACTCGGACTCCCTGCAATGGGAGGGAGCCCCGGGCTCGAGGATCTCACAAGTTCAGTGCTCTCTCCTGGGACAGAATGCTAAACAAGCTCCATAATTAATCATCAGCTTAGGGCAAACTCTTGAAATTGTATTATAATGCTAATCTTCTAACATTATTCGTAAAATGTAGAGTTTAAATGCACATTCATTAATAAATAGCTAGAAGTAAAATAGTATGCTAGGCAATTTAACGAAATGGTAGGAAATATTTTAGGTACATCAAAAAGTCTGGTTAAAAATACAGGGTTCATACAGTCATGAAAAACCAGGGAAAGTGATGGAATTCTGACATGGCATTTTCCAGGACTGGAAAAATTTTGGAAAATCTGAAAAACCCACAAAGTTTTGGAAAAGTCATGGAAATTAGTTTAACAAATATGTGAATGCTTAAATATGGGTTGCGTGTCTTCTTTTCTGTCCATGGCCGAACTCATGCTCTCACCTTATTAGTGCTGCGTGAGCGTTATCGGAATACATTTTACATATATATAAAGATTAATTTAAACTAAATAGATTGTTGCATGTGTTATGACATGCTGTAATAACTTTGAACATGCATTGTTTTTCTTATTATTATTTACCACGTATACAAAGACATTACATGAAATATTAGGTCATGAAAGTTTACTTGAAAGTGCTGGAAAAGTTATTGAATTTTAATAGTAAAAATGTGTATGAACCCTGAAAACAATTGTGCTTAAAATGCCTCTAAGGGTGCTTTCACACCTGTGAATCGATTCAGTTGTTCCGAAACAGAGATTACAATTGTTACATTGTTGCTCTTTGCTCTTGGAGCGGTTCGCTTTCACACTGCAAAGTTTCCAATCGGACCAAAAGAGATAAAACAAGTCACGTGTGAGTAAACTCTCCTCACATTGGTCAGAGTGTCACGGTTTATTTTGCAGCGTCCCGCTCAGCTGTCAGGAGAGGTGGTGGTTTGATGGTGATTGACAGGGTGCGCGCGCGACGTGTCTGAGGAGAGATGCGGTGTGGAGGGGTGAGAAGGGTGCGCGATGATGCCTATTTGAGGACCGGGAGGGAGACGCGAGATTACCGGGAGATCATCACTCGTTTGCGGGCATCCGGAGACTCGCGGAACTTCCCGCCCTACTCATAATTCTCTCTTCATATAGCCGTATGCCTATTACATATCCATAAAACACTGTGATATAACCGCAATCGGATCGGATCGCTTTCTCACTGCAATCGAACCGCTCCAGGGTTTGTTTCAATCGAGCCGAGACCACCTCATTCAAGCGATCTCGGAGCGATTACTTTGGCGCAGAACAGAGCGTGATTGCCCTGTTCATATATGCCAAACGAACCGCGCTAACTGGGCAAACGAGATACGTTCCGAAACAAAAGTGTAGGTGTGAAAGCACCCTAATATGCAGCGTTTAACTATGAAACGAGGTGAATAACTGCAAAAAAAGTTCCACTTTTTTTTTAAACGAAGAACCACCCCTTTCAACAGGCTGGCTTTAGGTCTGTACATACATCACATTTACACACAACACTAATACATACATGCTATTATTAAGTATTTTTAAGACTAAAATGCTTTTAATTTTAAATTATACATCCTTCAGATCAGTTTCTTTTCTCTTGAAGCACAAAGTGAATTCAGAGTGCTTTTATAAAGAACTGATGATTTTTGAAAATGGTGTATTGCTGTAAAATCTTAGTAAAATGACATGCACGTGTGTCTGTACTGAAGACGAGCATGTGCTCTTCCAGTTCATGCAACTCTTGAGCATGGAAATTAAAGCATGACTGATAATGATTTTGCAATGGCCGTTGCAATATAAGGAAGGGTGTTTTATTTGATTGCCATAACGGAGACTAAGATAAGCATTTGCATTTATGTTTTACACAATACTCACTGAATGATCCTGAAAAGCTGTATAAAAATCCTTCGATCAAAATTCATTTCGGCTTTTCTAAAAATACGCCATGTTTGTTTTTAATTGGACTAAGGCTGCATGATGTATCTCAAAATTATTGTTATCGCGATAATAGTATATGCGATATACATATCACATAGATAACTTTTAAACATTTATTTTATGCATTGGTTGTTTATGCAAATTTGACCAATCATATGGGGCCTTGCGATATTTAGCCTCGCCTCCCCAGTAGTTGCTGTTCTGCTATTGGCTGGAGCAGCCCAAAGGCGAATCCAAAGCTAAAAATTAACACTAATGGAAGAAAGGGAGACAGGAAAATGACAACAGCCAATCAGAGCCAGAATATCTGCGCAGGTTTTCACTCATTCATTGTGTTTTAAAAACTACATTTTTACACCTCGACGCAGTTTTTTTTTGTATGAATTAGAATTAATTGAACCTGAAACATATCTTTTAACTGTTTATGCTAATACCACTGCATAAATAAACGATTAAGCTAATAAAAATAGCATTTTTCTATGGAATAGTAATATCATTATCAGGCAGCACGGTGGCTCAGTGGTTAGCACTGTCACCTCACAGTAAGAAGGTCACTGGTTCAAGTCGTGGCTGGGCCAGCTGGCGTTTCTGTGTGGAGTTTGCATGTTCTCCCTGTGTTGGCGTGGGTTTCCTCCGAGTGCTCCGGTTTGAGTGTGTGTGTGAATGTAAGATTGTATGGGTGTTTCCCAGTACTGGATTGCGGCTGGAAGAGCATCCGCTGCGTAAAACATATGCTGGAATAGTTGGCGGTTCATTCCCCTGTGGTGACCCCTGATAAATAAAGGATTAAGCCGAAGGAAAATGAACGAATGAATATCGTTATCGCAATTCTCAATGACTATACTAACAGATAACCTATTTTCCCAGTATCATGCAGTACTAGATTGGACTGTGGTTGTCAGGATGTACCTCATTGCCCAGCTGGTCCACTATGGAGATGTAATTGGGATTAGTTTTATTTGGGTATGAAAGCAGCACATCGTATGGAACCAGCTCTACTGAGTCCAGCCCGAACTCCATCCATTCATTGCGTATCTGCTCTGCTAGATTCAGATTCTGCTGCGTTCCGGCCAGATGTGGAAGCCTTGTGAACTTCCTGTTTAAATGACAAACATAAACATAGACCTTAAAGCTGACCCCTTTTTCAAGATGTAAAATAAGTCTGTGATGTCCCAAGTGTGTGTGTGTGTGTGTGTGTGTGTGTGTGTGTGTGTGTGTGTGTGTGTATGTGTGAAGTTTCAGCTCAACTGAACTTTATAACTCTCTGAAATGGATGCATATAGGCTTTGATCCTAATTGTGACATTTCAGTCACTTTAAATCCAAATGAGATCTTTTCAAAAGAGGGCGGAGCTACAAATGCCTGTGTGTCAGCATAGTGGCAGACTCAAAAATAAGACTATCCTTATATGCTAATGAGATAGAGATGGTCACTAGTGGGTGGGGCTTTCCCCCTTTGATGACACATACAAAGGGAGAACATCAAAGTGTTTCAGCAGATTGTTTTCATCAAGTGTGACTATAACAAATAGAAATAATGAATTTTTAACATTAGATGCTGGTTATATTCACAGATTGTTGCCACACAACTGTGTTTAAACTCCTTATAAAAGTGATTTTTGCATAATAGGCCCCCTTTAAAATAATTTCTGCTAGCAAAAACAACTAAAAGGCTGTGTTTTGGAGTAGATCTGCACTTAATAATCAAACTAATACAAGTGCATTTAAGAGTATTGTTTAGTAAGGGCACCTGAGATGATGTTTAATATTCTCTGCATGCATCTCATCCAGAAAGTCGCGCAGGAAGCTTTTTGATGTGCGTTCATGATTGACAGAAGAAGGTCGAGCAAACCAACCTGAGAAACAGACACATGTTACAGTAAACCATGCCTGAGGAATATTGCAGATTATCTGTTTAATATGCATAAATTCTGACTGGTATATTGAATAAATGATCAAATACAAATGCAAAAGCTAAAAGTCAACATAAGCTAAGCGATCAACACATTTAGGCTTTCTACATCTTTAGATTAATGTATTTTTGTGTTTTTCCATGGGAATTTGGTATTTAGAGAGTAATTTCATAGCAATTTAACTTATGCTTTGTTAATACCCTGCTTGCTACTATTTTGGGGATTTAAAATTACTTTAAAAACGCTTTAGGAATATAAAAATATGCATTTTAAAGAGTTATTTTATGCAGATTTACTAGTTCAATAGAATATTTTAGAGAAGAACCAACATAAACAAGACAAAGGCATACAAATGGCATTGATCAAATATCTTCCATAACATTTAGAGATTACAAAGTGTTAAACAGAGATCTGGCAGCTATATTATATATATTTATTTATATATTTCCAAGGCTGTGTTTGCATGTGAACAATTATATCCAAAATAAAAGTATACTGAACACCAGGATTTGGGTAAAGAACTATTTAAAGTGAATGTTTTGCCACACCTGTCCTGAAAGTATTCAAGAATGTGAAATACATGAGATCCGGACAGGTGAGACTTGCAGGTACCAGACAATTTGATTTTAACCATTAAACACCAAGTGACTGCTAATTCTCAGTATTTGACAGCATTGTTTTGCTTTTTGTTTATTTAAATTGCGGTTTGAAACTTAAAACAACTTAAATCTACTTCAATCGCAATAAGCTTTGCGTTAATAAAATAAATAAAACTAATACAGGTGCAGAGACTCACCAATAATAAACCCAATTAATAAGAAAGTACTTGCTAGCATTCGGGGATTCAAAATAACTCTGAAAAATGCTGTAAGAATATAAAAATATGCATTTTAGAGAAGGACCGCCATAAACAAGACAAAAGCATAACAACTGCATTGATAAAATATATCACATAACATTTAAAGTTTATAAAGTATATAATACTGATGTGGTATAAACTGATATAAACTGTGGGACTCTTGAAAATATATAGATTTTTCCACATCTGTGTTTGCATGTGAACAATTTCATCCAAAATAAATGTCTACTGAACACCTGGGCCCGGTTTTTCAAAAGGTTTAATCCGGATAAAATTGATCCGGATTTAGTAATTCTGTTTTTGCGATCCGTGATCACGTTATCCAGCTTACTTTTTGAGCCAGTTTTTCAAAGCAACATCGGATTGGATCAATCTGATCTGGATAGGAACTTTTCAGGATAACTAAATCTGGATAACCAGTGCTCAAACAGCATAGGACATCACAACGTAGAACTATAGATATGTAAAGAGCGACAAGTAGAATAGCCAGCGTGGGGCCAATATAACTTTATTTTTATTTGAAATGAAAACTAAGAAAATTTAATAATTATTAAAATAATAATAATAATAAAAACAAGAAAAACCGCACCCCATCCTCTTTCAGCATTCGGCTCATCTGAGACCTACAACACTGTACATTGAGGATATTTATAATAAGTTTCAAATATAGATGTAAATAAAAAAAAAGACTTAATGTCAAAAACTCCACAATAATTTCAGACTTCCTCATCTGATGTGGAGAGAGCAGCTTGTCTGAGCGTAGCCTTTGGGAGGCGAATCTCAAGTCATTGGCCTTGGTTTGCTGCAGTTTGGTCAGAGTCAGTTGTTTCTCTGCCAGACGAAGCTGTGCTTCTGCCCTTTCAGTCTCTTTTTGCAATTGTTGATAGTGATATCAAAAATCAGCGATTGCCATTCTTTGCCATTTTTTTTTGGTTATTCTGTAATCATTGCATGCACACTAATAAATATTCTAAAAACAAAAATATTTTCCATTGTGATATATATATATATATATATATATATATATATATATATATATATATATATATATATATATATATATATATATATATATATATATATATATCTCAATTATTGACAGAATAAAATTAATTGTTTTTGGTCAATTTTGACAACTGTTTGGGGGATTATTTTATGAGGTCAAGCTATTTCTACTTTGCTGTATGCATACTGAAAGGCTGAATACATTAAAGTCTATACTCACTATAGCCTGACAGATGAACAAATAAAATTAAAACCTTATAATTAAATAGTATATCTCGTAAGATACTGCATGATCCAAAAATAGTATTATTTTATACATTTTTTAAGTTTTCATTACATTTTGGGCATGAAATCCACGCTAAAACCACCCTTCTGATGGGATCAGTTTAATCCAGGTTTTTTGGATCAAAGTGATCCAGATCCTACAAATAAGGTCTGAAAAACCCAAAGTAAAGGTTTGATCCGGATCAAAACCAAGATTGGATTACGTGATCTAATCCGATTAGGTAATCCGTTTTTTTCTTTTGAAAAACCCATTTTCAAGATTTGATCCAATCCCTTATCCAAAATCCCAGTGGATTACTTTTGAAAAACCGGGCCCTGGATATAGGGAAAGAGCTATTTGAAGTGAATGGGGTCTCTCAAGTTTTGCCACACCTGTCCTGAAAGTATTTAAGTATGTGAAATACAGCAGGTGAGACTTGCAGGTACCAAACTATTTGATTTTAGCGATTAAATACAGAGTCACTGCTAATTCTCAGTATATGACAACAGTTATTGGCTTTTTCTTTGTTTAAATAGCAGCCTCAAACTTAAAACAACCGAAATCTACTTTAATCTTGATAAGTTTAGCATTATTCGAATAAATAAAACTAATACAGGTGGAGAGACTCACCAATAATCAAGCCTATTATGAAGAAAGTACTTGCTAGTATTTTGGGAATTAAAATTACTCAGAAAAAGGCTGTAAGAATATAAAAAATATGCATTTTAAATAATTATTTTTACTATTTCAATAGATTATTTTACAGAAGGACCACTATAAACAAGACAAAAGCATAAAAACTGCATTCATAAAATATATTACATAACATTTAAAGTTTATAAAGTATATAATACTGATATGGTAGCTATATATATATATATATATATATATATATATATATATATATATATATATATATATATATATATATATATATATATATATAAATATATATATAAACTGTGAGACTCTTGAAAATATATAGATTTTTCCACATGTCTGTTTGCATGTGAACAGTTACATCAAAAATAAATGTATACTGAACACCTGGATATAGGGAAAGAGCTATTTGAAGTGAATGGGGTCTCTCAAGTTTTGCCACACCTGTTCTGAAAGTAAGAATGTGAAATACATGAGATCTGGACAGGTGAGACTTGCAGGTACCAAACAATTTGATTTTAACCATTAAACGCAGAGTCTCTGCTAATTCTCAGTATTAGACAACATTGTTTTGCTTTTTGTTTGTTTAAATTGCGGTCTTAAACTTAAAACAACTTAAATCTACTTTAATCGCGATAAGCATTGCGTTTTAAAAATAAGTAAAACGAATACAGGTGCGGAGACTCACCAATAATAAAGCCGATCAAGAAGAAAGCTGTAATGGCTGTTAGCCGGCAGATCCAGCGGATTATTTTATCCTCAGAACCCATTTGACTAAACGCCGCTCATAACTCGTTGAAAGTTGGAGAGCTAATACTGTCTGTGGGGGGAGAGTGATGTAGGCGTGTTTTGGTTTGGGTTAGTTCATTTCAGCGAATCGGTTCGTTTGAGTGAACATGATTCACCAATTCACTTGATTTAGCGAGCGTAAAAGGGTTCGTTCATAGATGTCGCCGTGCAGAAATTTCACAGGTTTATGAAGTGAGATAAATATTTGGCTGTTGGTTGCTGCTGAAAATGACCTTTTAAATTAACAGAAGAAGAACATAATGATGATTTGTTTTTCTAATGAGTAAAAAAAACCTGACCTATCCTTTGAGGATGGGAACTTACTAATGGGGTATATGCAAACAGACTTTTAATTTTCAGCCAGCACAACGGCTTCCTGTGAACTGTCTTTCCAAAATTGCCACGTTTAAGATCTGTTTATTTTAAAAATAAGTGATCTTCAATGCCTAATAGATATTTAATATAAAGTGAGTCTCAGACAAGAAGCACTGCATTAAATTCCATTTTTCCCTGCCATCTCTTTAAAACAGGAAGATTTCCTGCTGAAAAATCCAGCTTAAACCAGCCTAGGATGGTTGGCTGGTTTTAGCTGGTTGACCAGGCTGGTTTTAGAGGGGTTTTGGCCACTTCCAGGCTGGTTTCCAGCCATTTCCAGCCTGGTTTTAGCTGTACAAGCTGAGAAATGACCAGCTAAAACCAGCTTGACCAACCTAGCCAGGCTGGGACCCCAGCCAAAACCAGCTATGTCCAGCTTAAACCAGGCTGGTCAAGCTGGTTTTAGCAGGTCACTTTCCAGCCAAACCAGCTAAGACCAGGCTGGAAATGACTGGAAACCAGCCTGGAAGTGGCCAAAAAACCTCTAAAACCAGGCTGGTCGACCAGCTAAAACCAGCCAACCATCTAAGGCTGGTTTAAGCTGGATTTTTCAGCAGGGTTATTTTACCTCAGTATTGGAGTTTCTGGGCTACCTTGCTACCGAATGGCGCTAGCGGTTACACAGTCTATCATGTCGTTTTACGCTTGAACAACTAAATGAATGCTTAAGTTTATTTAACTGGTTGTATTTTAATTACATTATGATGTCGATGCTGTAAAATTAAATTTATAAAACTTTAAATAGTCACAGAAATCTTTCACAGTAAGTTTACCATTTACTGAGAAACACAGCAGGTATTTTTAGTAGATATGTTAACTCTAAAAGGGATAGTTCACCCCAAATAAAACAAACAATAAATAATAAATAAAAACAATACTTCATATTTACTCACCCCAAGTCACAATTTCCTTATTTTCTGTTGAACACAAAAGAAGATATTTTGAAAAATGTTGGAAACTTGTAACAATTAATTTAGTCAAAATAGCTTATTTTGTTTTTAATAGAATGAAACTCATACAGGTTTGAAACAGAGTTAAAGGGAGAGTTAATAATGACACCTTTTTAAAATTATTTTTGAGTGAAGTTTAATTTAGTGCTGGCCAAAAATTATTTATTTATATATATATGTGTGTGTGTGTGTGTGTGTGTGTGTGTGTGTGTGTGTGTGTGCGTGTGTGTGTGTGTGTGCGTGTGTGTGTGTGTGTGTGCGTGTGTGTGTGTGTGTACATTTATTGGCATCACGGTGGCGCAGTGGGTAGCACAGCAAGATGGTTGCTGCAAGAAGGTAGCTGGAGTTTCCTCCGGGTGACTCCGGTTTCCCCCACAGTCCAAACACATGCGCTATAGGTAAATTGAATAATCTAAATTGTCCGTAGTTTATGAGTGTGAATGAGTGTGTATGGGTGTTTCCCAGTGTTGGGTTGCTGCTGGAATGGCATCCGCTGCATGAAACATATGTTGGATAAGTCGGCGGTTCATTCTGCCGTGGCAACCCCTGATGAATAAAGGGACTAAACTGAAGGAAAATGAATAAATGAAGGAGTTTTGTGTGTGTGTCTATGTGTATAGCCTATAACATATACATATATATAAAATACAAACACATATTATCTCAAAACAAAGTTTTATTTTGAATATTTCTCTCTCTTCTTAGATTACATTGTTCTAGGCTTTATTAATTAAGCTATATTATTCCATATGAACACGGTTGTTCTTTTAAATGTCCAAAAACGCCGTGTTTTGGTTCAATTGAATCGTCAACATTAAATGATTCAGATGAACGAGTCTTTGGCGAATAGGAGTCAATAGTTCAGTGTTTGAACGCTCGTAATTTATACGGATAAACGCGGCTTGATTTTTAATGAAGTATTAATTCAAATGAACATTTTGGGTGAAATAAAATCACTAATAATGTTATATTAAACTAATGTTGTAATTGTGTGCAAACCGACTCTGTTTTAGCCGTCCGTGTGCTCGGGCAGTTCAGGAATGCGGCGGGAGGACATTCATCAGGAGGAGCCGGTGTCTTGTGGGGGTTGTTAGTTTAGTTTAGTAGGCTAGTTTTAATGTGCTTTATTTGCAGGTCACTTGACAGGCTGCGTATAATTAAAACAGACTCCAAAAAATTCGATGCTCTCACTTGTATAGCAATAGATGGCGCTGTTGAATCATGCTTGATTCATTTTATTTTATCCTATCCGACACACACACACACACACACACACACACACACACACACACACACACACACACACACACACACACACACACACACACACACACATTTATGAAGCCTATACTTTTTATAATCTGTAATGGTCAAATACATAATCGAATAATATAATAAATATAGGTAAGTAAATATTGCAAAAATAATGCATAATGCATTTACATGGTATATAAAAACTAGCAAGGGCAACACAGTTGCCTCGAAGCAAGGTCGATCCTTCGAGTCCTGGCTTTGTGGAGTTTGCATGTTCTCCCCGTGTTGGCGTGGGTTTTCTCCGGGTGCTCCGGTTTCCCCCAAAATCCAAACACATGCGCTATAGAAGAATTGAATAAACCAAATTGGCTGTGTGTCTGAATGAGTGTGTATGGGTGTTTTCCATGACTTGGTTGCAGCTGGACGGGCATCCGCTGTGTAAAACATATGCTGGATAAGTTGGTGGTTCATTATGGCGTGGCAATCTTTTATGAATGAAGGAAATATGAAAAAAATGAGTGAATGAATAAAAACTAGCAATAGATGACGCTGTTGAGTCATGTTTGATTTATTGCATTTTCCGAATTTAAAATGTTATTTTGAGATTTTTTTTGTGTAAAATTAGTTCGGTGCCATATTTTGAGACATGTTATATTATTTTTTGTTAAAAAATAGGCAATTTTATGGAATAATTGTCATTTTCTGAAAAAGCTCTCTGTCAATTCAATTCAGTTAAATTCAATTTAAATCAGTAATTGTTTTATTGGCATGACAAAGTTTACAAATGTATTGCCAAAGCATTTATAAAGTTTATATTAAAAAGATCATACATACTATACACACACACACACACACACACACACACACACACACACACACACACACACATAGATAGATAGATGGATAGATGGATGGATAGATAGATAGATAGATAGATAGATAGATACACTGTAAACGATTTCTTGTTAAATTAACAGTAAGTTACTGGCAACAATTATCCAGTAGCTGCTGTATTTCATAAAACAGTAACATTACTGTAATACTAATTACATTAGTATTACATTTACTGTAAAATGTAATACATCATTTTACTGTTGTTGATTTTTACTGTAACACCAATTACAGTAGTGATACACATACTGCAAAACTGAAAACAGTATTTTATTGTACATTTTTACCATGAAGAACTACGGTATTTTAATGTTACTTTCATTATTACTGTATAGTATTTTACAGTTATTAAATGTTATTTTATTTTATTTAATAGTGCTACTTTATAATGGGTAAAAATGTTCAAAAATTGCACAAGTGTTATTTTAACTGTTCAAGACGTACAAGAAAAATAAAGAAACTGAAACTTTTAACTTCACAATAAAGGTTTATTGTGTAAACCATGCTAAAACAGTAGCAATAATTCAATATAACAGAGCAACAGAACACTAATAAACAATTGATCATTAAAACCAGTCAACAATTAATGCATCAAAAAGCATTACAATTTTAAAAAAGGTGAGAATACTGCTACAAGACAGGAAATGATGAAGGCCAAATGATGTTGTGGAAAGGGACAGTGAAAAAGGGCAGCAACATGATGATGATCCTGCAAAAATGACAAGCAAAATCAATCACTGAAGTAAAAACTAATCATCCCTCAAACCATTTAATTCATTCAGAAACGAAACACTGCACTGTTGTTTAAATATATATATATATATATATATATATATATATATATATATATATATATATATATATATATATATATATATATAGTTTGATATATATATATATATCAGTTATATAAAACAGTTTTTAAATTGTTTTTGTTGGTGAAATACAGTTTGTTGTCAATTCACAATTACACTAACGTTAATGGGGAAAAGATCAGCGGGCATTGTTCTTGAGAATCGCTAGTCAGGTGTCCACACAGGTGTGTAAAAAATAAAGTCTCATCTTAACTTAATGTCCGACTCTGTATAGCTCGAATATCTGATTCCATGATCACACTACTAGTGCTTCCACGGATTCAAGAGGGGTGAACACAGTTCATTCTGACTTTAAAAGGCTACATATTTAAAATTAAATAAATAAAATAATCTAAGTTAACGTGACTAATGTTAATTAAATACTTTAAGGCTTTTAACACGTATAAATCCACTTCTAACTTACAGACAAGATTGCGTTAGAGAACATGAAAGCTGTGGGTGATTTTTTTTTTAAATAATGCTAATGATAAGTTACTGATATATGGTTTGCATAAAACAAAGTAATCACTAAGCATTCATTTTTGGCAAAATCTGCAGAGAGGCTCAGCGACACGAGGAAATGTGTTAAAGTTGAGTAGAGAACTAAAGAGCAGTCTAGCCCACTTGAAAACATGAAATGTTTGTGGTAATAGTCTGCTGTCAATTCATATTACTGTATTTCAATATGCAGCAGTGATGGCATGTCAGCGA